GGTGGAGGTTGCAGTGAGCTGAGATCGTGCCACTGCACTCCAGCCTGGATGACAAAGCAAGACTCCATCTCAAAACAAACAACCCACATACACACTAGAAAGGTGGGTGGGATTGCAGGAAGGCAGGTGCAGACCCTGAAGCCTGCGATGGAGCTGATTTTCTATTTCGAGCATTAACAAGTTCCTCTCATGTTCTTCCATTTGCTTACAGACCTCCCACAGCCCAGTGTGCCAGGACGTGCTGAAATTCATCAGTCAGTGGTGTGGAGGGCTCCCCAGCACCAGCTTTTCCTTTCAGTAGTCGGTAGAGCTGAGGAAGAGTTAGGGCCTCTCCCTCATTAAAGTTTTATAAATAACTGAGACCACTGTATTCTTTGATCAAAGTCACTCCCAACATCACACAGTGCCTTTTCCCCAAAAGGAATCATAATCAAGTAGAAGAAAAGAGAAGTTACTTTATTACAATTTATTATCTCATCCCGAGGTCAGGGCCCCTTGCTTGGTGGGAAAAAAACACCCTTTAGGACTGAGTCTTGGAACAGCACCTGCTGGACAGAGGGGAGAACCAACCCAGGTCAGAGGGGGAAAGCAACATGGCAAGACCTAGACCCAGTTCTAAGAGCACTTCCCTGCCCCCACTCTTACCCAGGCCACCACCTTCAAGGCCCATTACCTGTCCTAAACCCAACTTCTCTGTGATGCCTGGATTTCTTGACTTTGATCCAGTAGCTGCTCATTTTCCTGCCTTTTATGTTTAGGAGATTCAAGCTCTATCATTTCCTCTAGCTGCAGAAAAAGGTGGAGTTAGACACCCTTGCCCTGAATGATAGGTCAGCATCTTTTTTTTTTTTTTTTTTGAGATGGAGCCTGGTTCTGTTGCCCAGGCTGGAGTGCAGTGGCACGATCTCGGCTCACTGCAACCTCCACCTCCCGGGTTCAAGCGATTCTTCTGCCTCAGCCTTCCAAATAGCTGGGATTACAGGTGCCCGCCACCCCACCTGACTAATTTTTTGTATTTTTAGTAGAGATGAGGTTTCACCACGTTGGCCAGGCTGGTCTCAAACTCCTGACCTCAAGTGATCTGCCTGCCTCAGGCTCCCAAAGTGCTGGGATTACAGGTGTGAGCCACTGCACCTGGCCAGTCAGCATCTTTTCAACACAGCCAATCTCTGTGGAATAAACCCTTCCTGTTCACCTTCCTTACCTGCCCCTGAAGTCCCTCCTTCCTGCAGGGCCCAACTCCACGTAGAGTGAGTGCAGCCACACAGCAGTAACCAGATAGAGCAGCCTCCCCTGCAGACATGAGCAAAGAAGGGATCCAGAGAGCCAAGGCTGTATCCTGAAAAGCAAGGATGGGGAGTAGGAGGGAGTAGGCCAAGTACAGCAAAGAAGGGAAATTAAAAGGGCAGGACCAAGGCTTTGTAGACCACAAGAAGGAAGAGAATGTGCTCACATAGATTCTTGTGGGGTCAAAGGGGCAGTCGGTATGTCCCGGCCCCTCATCCAGTGGTACCAGAGGATCCAGCAGTCCTGGGTGGCAGTCAGCAATAAGGCGGCGGCCACCGTTGGCCACAGTGAGTGACACGGCAAGGAGGAGGCCCAGAGAGCAGGCAGCGGACAAGAGCAGGTTCACCAGAGCTAGTACCAGCAGGGCCCAGTGCTGGCAGGGACAGATCAGGGTGAGCAGCCTGGGCCTGGCTAACTCCCAGTGACTAGACACCCAGTTTCTCTATTTGAGGCTCCTCCAATCTATTGAAAGACCAATCTCAGCCCCCATTTCCCTGACTCAAGCCTACTCGTTAAAAGCTCCAGGAAGTCCCTTCTCACCAGTGGAGGGCGAAGAAGGTTCCTGGACGCCAGGAGAGCCACAAGTCCCACGGAAACGCTCTGTGGAAGACACAAAGCCTTTGGCTTGCTGGGCTCTCCGGGCGCCCGGCCCCCACCCCGGGCCGCC